CAGCTGTTGTCTCACAATGCAACAAACTCGAGCTCATAATAAGTGCATTCACAGGGAGCAGTGCATTTCTGATACATCGCGGTGAGAGGAAGAGGATGCTCTCAAATGAGGAAATTTAAAAATTCAGGATAGGGATTGCAGGGCCATGATAATACGCGCTAGCATGAATATTTAAAATCCTCTTATCTTAAATTTAAAAAGTGGAGAGATTTTTTTGCCTCCGCTGTCAGCTGGGAGCATGAGGTGAGGCAGTGATCTCTGCAGGTGGGTGGCATGGCCTCTTTTCAGCTTGTACATCAGCACGACTTTTTCATCTGAACTTTTAAGAGGTAGGTCACACCGTGGATGTTTTAGTCAAGAGTGTATTCGGGTCATACAATACTACAGGGTGGGCCATTTATATGGATACACCGTAATAACATGGGAATGGTTGGTGATATTAAAGTCCTGTTTGTGGCACATTAGTATATGTGAGGGGGCAAACTCCTCAAGATGGGTGGTGACCATGGTGGCCATTTAGAAGTCGGCCATCTTGGATACAACTTTCGTTTTTTCAATAGGAAGAGGACCATGTGACACATCAAACTTATTGGTAATGTCAGAAGAAAAACAATGGTGTGCTTGGTTTCAACATAACTTTATTCTTTCATGAGTTATTTACAAGTTTCTGACCACTTATAAAATGTGTTCAATGTGCTGCCCATTGTGTTGGATTGTCAATGCAACCCTCTTCTCCTACTCTTCACACACTGATAGCAACACCACAGGAGAAATGCCAGCACAGGCATCCAGTATCCGTAGTTTCAGGTGCTGCACATCTCGTATCTTCACACCATAGACAGTTGCCTTCAGATGACCCCAAAGATAAAAGTCTAAGGGGGTCAGATCGGGAGACCTTGGGGGCCATTCAACTGGCCCACGACGACCAATCCACTTTCCAGGAAACTGTTCATCTAGGAATGCTCGGACCTGGCACCCATAATGTGGTGGTGCACCATCTTGCTGGAAAAACTCAGGGAACGTGCCAGCTTCAGTGCATAAAGAGGGAAACACATCATCATGTAGCGATTTCAAATATCCAGTGGCCTTGAGGTTTCCATTGATGAAGAATGGACCCACTATCGTTGTACCCCATATACCACACCAAACCATCACTTTTGTTGGTCCAACAGTCTTGGAGGGATCCATCCAAGGGATGTTCGACTAATGCCACTCTCCAGTGACATGCGGGGAGTTCTACACTGTGGGCTCTTGCTGAATGAAGCTAGGACAGCCACTGATGTTTCTTCATTAGTGACAGTTTTCTTGCGTCCACATTTTGGCAAATCCAACACTGAACCAGTTTCACGAAACTTAGCAAGCAGTTTGCTAACTGTAGCATGGGAGATGGGTGGTCTCGTAGGGTGTCTTGCATTGAAACCTGCTGCAATAACCCAGTTACTGCGTTCACCAAATATCAACACAATTTCGATCCGCTCCTCACGTGTTAACCTCTTCAACATGTCAATGGCTGTGAACAAAGAGAAACTTGTAAATAACTCATGAAAGAATAAAGTTGCGTTGAAACCAAGCACACCATTGTTTTTCTTCTGACATTACCAATAAGTTTGATGTGTCACATGGCCCTCTCCCTATTGAAAAAACAAAAGTTGTATCCAAGATGGCCGACTTCTAAATGGCCACCATGGTCACCGCCCATCTTGAGGAGTTTGCCCCCTCACATACTAATGTGCCACAAACAGGACTTTAATATCACCAACCATTCCCATGTTATTACGGTGTATCCATATAAATGGCCCACCCTGTAGAAAGCCCCGTGCTATTTCCAAAAAGGTATAAAGTAGCACAGGTGCATATCGAATGGAATGAGCAGTGACTTATGTCCGCTGATGTCTCCAGATCACGTATACTGAGCGGTGCATGCCAGTCAGTGATGATAATGCAGCGCAAAAGGTGGTTAATCCTGCGTGCTATGGAGTCTGGCCATCTGTGCTCAGGAGGCTTTGTACAGTGATTGAGGCAGGAAGGGAGGGGATCAAATATGCATGATGCGGCACATTTGCAATGATTGATACAATGATTGTTAATTTGAGCTGCAACTTTTAAAAAAAACTTTTAGAAGGGAAGAAATACACTAAATAATAAGATGTACAAACAGAATAATATTAAACTAACTTGCATTAACAGACAGATAATGGAAGCTAGGGGTGAGGTGTATACAAATCTAAACATTAGCAATGGCTAATGTAACGTTAGCTGATGTTAGCTACAATTTCACAGAGTAACAGAACAAACATCAACTCTGTTTTGACTTATCAAGACAGATTTAAGTGATTTAAATATGTGTGACTTTTAAAGCATTTTAAGGAAGATTGACTGTTTTAGTGTCACTTGCTAGCTATCGAGCTACAGAGAAATTAGCTTTAGCTGACACATGATTGTTAACCACCTGGCATTAGCTTCCTTGCTATTTTGGGTGTGTGATAATCATGGTAACATTGTAGCCTCAAGCGAATGAGGACCACTGGTTGTGAGGGGAAAAGAAATTAGTATTTCCCAGTTGGTTGGAGAGTTGTTGCTGGAGGTTGATGGCAGTTGCTGGGAAACTGACTGCTAAAGCCAACGTCACACAGACCTGTCACTGCTGGCTGTAGCAGTGAAGCTTAGCTTTTTCTGTTAAGTTTATGTTGTACTTTTTCAAGTTTTACTGCTGATCAGCTAGTCAGCTGTAGTTGGTAGTTAAGGAGATTTTTATCTGGTGCAGCACAATCTTTCCACCAATTTCACCTAGCAACAGCAAATAACTCCCAAGAATTACTTGCCAACCAGAACAATGATTATTTCCTTGGGACTAGTGGTTGTATCATAGCATCACATGAGAAACTGCTATTGAGCTGGATTATGTGCACTCATACTGTGTTTTATCAGTCTTCACTCATTTGAGAGCACATATTTGGGCGCACCAACTGCTTGAAGTCCAATTTTTAGCTAGAATGGACAATATCATGAAAGCTAGTTCTTAAGTTGAAGAACTACATACAATGTGAACATATTGTAAATTAACAGGTACTTAAATAACACCTTTCTACTTGGTTGCACTGAAAGAGCTCCCTACTCCAGCCACACATACACATTCATACAGTGCTTTTCTATGTGCCCATGTGCTTTTTAACATTCACAACCACACTCACACTCTGACAGATGCATTGGGGGCAACTTGAAGTTCAGTATCTTGCCCAAGGATACTTTGGCACATGGACTGGAGGAGTTAGGGATCCAACCACTGACCTTCTGAGTGATAGGTGACCCGCCACCTGATCCAGACCCATCCCAATCCGAAAATGCGTACATAAAAAAACTAAAATAAGATATTAAAGAGAAAACAATATTTAGGATGCAGTGAAACCATGGATGGTATAAATCAGCGGTCCCCAACCTTTTTTGCACCACGGACCGGTTTATGCCCGACAATATTTTCACGGACCGGCCTTTAAGGTGTCGCGGATAAATACAACAAAATAAAACTAGTACCGGTACCGAAAAAAACATAACACAGGTGACCCAGGAGTTTTTTTTTTTTCGTTTTTTTTTTTCATTTTTTTTTCTCTCTCTTCCCCCCCCTTCTCACCGTCTCTTCTCCCCTTTGGTTTTCTTTCTTTCTCTCCCCCTCTTTCTCTCATTCATTCCCCCTGTCCTATTTATTAAAAAAACAACAACAAACAAACAAAAAAAAACATAACACACGTGAAAAGACCCAGGAAAACCGAGTTAACGATAAAAACGATAACAAAATAACGCTGAAAACCGATAAAAACCCTGAAAACCATACATTTCACACCTGAGCCTCAACTCTCGCGGCCCGGTACCAAACGACTCACGGACCGGTACCGGTCCATGGCCAGGGGGTTGGGGACCGCTGGTATAAACCATGGACATAGCATTTGTGTTGGAAAAATGAAACCAGTGCAGAAGTGCCTTAAACCTGCATTCTATCTGAAGGCCACCAGATGGCGATGGCTGTGGTAGCAAAAACACATCTGGTCCAATAGACATCTACAGGAAAACGGCTTTCTGTTTTGACCTCTGTAAACACTTTTTTGCTGAGTTTGTGGACTCAGTCACTCGTTGCGGAAAATAAAAAAATAAAAAATTACATTTGCGATGTAAATCTTTTATCTCATACTATGTGTCAAAATGGAGGTGTGGTCTGAAACTGGCTAACAAGCTGTCAATCACAAGTTATTAGCTAATAAGTATAAGGTTTCACAGCCAGACCTGCCCTTCCTCATCACGTTTTCTTTTTTTGCAGCCAAGAGGGCGAAAACACTCGTTTTGGGACTTCACAGACTGATGGGTGACATCATGGTGGAAACTGTAAATAAAAGATGCACACCTACTGCTTGGTCATTTTAGCTATGGCCATGTTGGTGTTTAGAAACCTGATTGGCGAAGAGTGACTCTGACTGCAAACCCAATAACACTGCAAAACCGTAGTTACCGAACACAAATTGCTTAACCATCTAGTTTACTATAAATGGGACCGTACTTTATAAAATAAAAGTCACGATACATCAAAGAAGAACTAGTGACAGAGACCATAACCTGACGAGTTTACTGTGGTCATAAAACAAGTGAGAAGTTGGGTCATTTTGCCACAGACTTCTATGCTATTGGAAAACAAAGGCTATGCCGGTTTTTATTGACAATTCTTTGTCTGTTACTACGAAAGACTTTAAATGCAAACATAGCAAATTTACAAACTGGTGCAACCCACACGAGCTTTTGGCGAATTCTTTACAACTTAGCATTTAAGCTAATTTTGTAGTTTTGCCGAACGCTTTAAGAAAAAATCTGCTACATGGGGGAAATGACGTGCAGTGAGGTTGTAGTGACGGGACGGCGTACGCTGTGAGGATGCTGTCTCAGCTACCTTTACTCTCAAAACATCATGAAGTAACAATGAAAAACTCCTCTTGAGCGCTCATTAAGTCAGATGTTGCTTTATCTTGTAACATGAAGACTTTTATTGCAAATAATATTGATTTGATAAAAGGGACTTGTTAATACCATTATTGAAAATAATCAACATCCATTACATTTCATATGGAATACTAGCATGGTTTTAACTGCTTAACAAGCAACCAACATAACTCCAGACTGTCACCAATGTGCCACAATAATCATCATGACTCTGAACAGCAGTTGTTTTTAGTTTATCAGCAAAGTCGATCGAAAGAAATCACAAACAAACATAGCCTGGCAATCTGTAAGAGGTATGTCTTTTTAGACCAGGTTTATGAACCAAACGTTTGGAAAAAACTGCTTCCAGTCATAAAAAGTATGAATATCTGTAAAATGCCCACCTCAAAAACACAGGTTAACTTTGACATGCAGCACAACCATACTCTCTGCACATCGTCAAACACGCAAGTGTGTGAAACTATGACTACACACTGGCTCTAAAGATCAAAAGGTATCATATTTTCTCCAAATATACACACATTGACTCTGTTCTATAATACTGTTATATTGGTTCACACCCTCTCTCTTTCAAAAAGTAGGTAATTTGATTGCAAACATTGTTCTTTTAATGTACTTAAATCAACAACAGTTATGGCATCTAAATGAACCAGACAACATTATAAACTATGCCATACTGTGCCTCATTCAAATAAATGTCACATATTCAGTTTTACATGTTTCAAATGTATTTTTTTACACTGTTTTCATAAAGGAAGAGAATAAATATACGTCTGACCCATTTTCATTATACCTTAACATTTAAACAAGATCATATGGTGCAGTATTTTTATAATTTGTAAAACAAGCTGATAACAACTTTAGTACAAACAATAAAAGAAAGAAACGGAAAAGGAAACAACAGAAAAGCTCAGCAGACCTCAAAACAAATCACCACAAAACGTTCAAATAATAATGTTTGTGCTTTAAGTCTTTTAACTGCGATGGCTATTTTTCTATAGATTTGCAGTTGCAAGTTTGCTGTCTTAAAATACTCTGAACTTGAATGCTGTTAGTCCCTCCACTGTTCGGTCCAAATCCAAACGCGTTATTTGGACCGGAAATACTGCATTTGTACAACTGACTTATTTGAAAATACCTGCAGGAGCCATCGGTTGGATTTGACTGGATATAATGCCTAATTTAACAGATAAGTCAGCTAATTGTTCATGAACATTCAGTCATCAATAATACGTCAAAATGACAAATAAGTTGTGTCATATTGAGATTTTCTCCAAGCGTCCTTTCAAAAAGAGGGTAATTTAATGTCTATGGTACTATTAAGGCATCACAGTACAGTTTCTCTGTTTCAACCATGAATTAAGGATACGTGAGGATGAATATGCCACGCTGACAGCCTTGTCTAAAAGCAAACACTGATTTTAAGCCTTGAAAAGTTACAGTTTCTGCTGTTAGGCTGAATTTAAATGACCTCCGATGCACACTGATCATCTCTTTGTTAACCTTGATCATCTTGGAGAGGGCTGGTAGCACCTTAGGCCATGTTTGTTTGGTAATGAGCATCTTCTCTTCATCATGAATAACATGAAAAAAAGTTAAAGTTGCAAAAGGTGCAATTATTGTAGTTTTTTTGTAGATTATGCACTTAGCCAAATATGGCTTTGACTCTTTATTTGAAGGGGAAAAAAAGAAAGTGGGGCATATTTCTGCATGTAATTCTCTGCACTGGAAAGGAGAGTAATAAAATGCAGTGCAGCAGAACGGTGCTTTCCCAGACTCCATTATCCAAGTTTCATACCCAAAGTTGGGGGCGAAAAAACCGATCATACAGTACGGAGCTGTGGGTTTTCAGCCAAAGATGATCAGTAGGTACGCAGCGAATTCAGAGACAAAGTGCTCTGCCCTGATACCTACTGGAGGTGGAGCGCAAACTAAAAAGAAAGAAGCAGCTCAACTTGGGCCTCGCCTTTTTCCTAACTGCAACAATTTGTCATATTCTTCACATACACTGACTCGCTGAAGAAAAAAAAGCAAGACAAAACAGAAGGAAAAAAACAGAGAATATACTTTTTTATTTCTATTTTCAAGAAAAATGTAAACATGGGGGCGGCGAAGTTCCTCCTTTCATAGCGTACAAAGTCATGGTTTGTGTTAATGCTCTTGGTCGAATGAGAAAAGCTGGTCCCACTTTAAAACAAAAGCCTACGCTATATTAAAATATAAAGATACAATACAGTATATTTTGCTACTTTTCACGGCTGCCTGATTGAAGCGGTTAGGCAGGCATAGTAACTGAAGGACCCATTTCAGGATACGGCAAACACACCTTGAACACTGTTCATCCATCTATTGAGTAATCGTGATAATACAGGTCCTGAAAACGCCCTGCCTTTTTTTTTTAAAATTATTATTTTGTTGTTGGTTTTTTGTTGTTTTTTAACTGTTTTTTTTTTTTCGAGCGCACTCCATGATCAAAAATTGTATTGTTAGGAATCTAAATGTCTTTCCTTTGTTCAACAGCCGGTAATACATTCAATACAACATTGGTATGGTAATTCTTTGTACTGAGAGACTTTGCGGAATTGCTTCTTTTTTAGTCGTGTACAAAAATGGGTGAAGATGTCAATTTTGCGCCATCGCCTCGCAGGGACAAGATGCATGAAAGGAACTCATTTGAAAGGTTCGAGGGGTGGGGGAGGGTGGGGCTGTTGATTGGTGTGGGGGTTGGGGATGAGTACTGATTCACAAGCTGGTCAATCAATCAGAAAAGGAAAAAAAATAATAAAGAGGAAATAATAATAATAATAATAAAAAACATCATAGTATTTACATGACAGAAATTTCACCAAATAAGAAAATAAGATTAAAAAAAAGGAAAAAAAAACATTTCCCCACACAAAAAGTAACGCTGATTATTTTCCCACCACAGCTCAACAAACTGTACCAGATTGGATTCCAGCCATCAGCAATGTCAAAAAGGATTCATAAATGCTCTCGACAGTCATTGTGTCTGGGCTGGCCTCTGCTAGTACACGCTGATGAAGGAGGAGAGAGCCATGACCAGGTACCGGCAGGCCAGCGAGATGTGCGCACTTCCTGTGCTCCCATAGGGTGCAGTGTTGGGCGCTGTGGGCAGGAAACAAGAGAAGCTCTGATTAGTTGTGATTGCACTTTCACTCGCTGCACTGACCATTTGCAAACCCCGCGGTCAACTTGGCGTGGCGCGTCCAAATGACACAGCAAAAATGGCAATTACTGTACCGCTGCCACTGATTCCAGTTGGCTTGTGAGACAGAGTTAAGCTCTGATACTAGTAAAAAGGCTGCATTATAATCTCATGAACAACTAAATGTAGTAAAGCTATCAGAAGAGATTATTACCACACATGAACTCACAAGACTTTTAGTAATTTTCCTTTTTTACAATAGATAAAGGAAAACAGGACAAGCTGTAAAAGATAAAGACATTAGAAACACTAATAAACATATGCATACATAAGTAGTTTTACATACGCATTTGCACACCAATGCATTCATACAAACATATAACAATAGACATGCATACATACTACATTAAATAAATGAGTGGATACAAATCTGAGTATAGTTACATAATGAATTATATGAGATGAAGGAATTAAAGTGGAAGGAATTTGTTGGGAGGGTCTTAAGAAAAAATTCTAAATTAATTAATAAAAAACATTAATGGGAAAAACAGCCCACAGATGAAAGAGGTGGTATCGTCCAAGTCAAAAAGATATTAGTCTCAGTAAAATGGTTGGTGACATCCAAGACTTTCCTTAGACCAGCTCTCAGTTTCCTCCAGACCTGGGGAGGGAGCCCCTGGGAGGGGGCCTGTTGATGGTCAGAGATTAGTGTTCTGTAAGGAAGTCAGTAAGTGATGTGGTCAACTACATGTTGCACACCTCTGAGACTATCATGTCGGGCATCTCAAGATATCACAGCACACTTTGTGGGGCTGAAGGCCAGTTTGATGATGTGTCTTATCTTGTTGGTAATTTAACTGATCAGCAACACAACCAGAAATCAAGCCCCAAATGGCTGAAAGTTAACTCAGATCAAAAAACATAAAACAAAGTCGACTTCTTTGTAGAGCAAATTTAAAAACAGCAAATGAAGAAAAATAATCATCAAAATCAATCAATCAATGGCAAGAGTGAGTAAAATGTTAACGCCATATTATGTAACTGAGTTGAATGTTAAGTTTTTCCTGACACATTTATAGATCACTGATCGTGTGACCATCCAAAACTGTCCTGACACATTTACTACTGTTATAGTACAACACTATGAGCCAGTAAGTTTTTCACCCACTGGTGTGAACTTTACCAGTTCTTTGTACCGCACTGGCTTCATAAGGTATTAAATGTAACATCCAGAAGTGACATCATTACTGCTGAACTCAGAGGAGGTTCTCAGAGGGAGATCACTGCAACATTTATAGAAGATGAGACCTTCGACAACAGTGAGCTGAAAACGCCACCATGGTCGCATTTTTTCTGTTTTATATTCTTCTATTTTGTAATCGAGTTTTTTTCCTGTGCTGCAACACCTGTCATTTAGAAGCAGACTGCAGCGGGCATAAATGGTTATGCAGCGAGCGGTGACGAATGCGTCGCCCATAATTGCGGCTTAAAGCAGTAATAGTCAACCGAGACAGGTGTTGGTGTGTTATGCTGTCTGATCAGATCACTTCTCCGAAATGAACGAGGGCGTGTACGACCTGATCGACAGCTGTTTTATTTTCCTCTTAGTGTTATTGAACACTCGGGTGGCTGGACACACCCAGAGGGTTTTGTGACATCATCTACAGCTCCCCGACTCCCTGCAGACATTCTGACCTGTCATCACAGGAAAAGTGCAGGTGGAATAATGACATTAGTGATGTTTTAATACAGTCACATTAACTAGAAAACAATTTTTCTGCATTTGGCAACTGATTGCAAGTAGTTATGTTGACCTGCTGGTCTCCCAGATGTTAAACGGCCAACACCCTCACATTCTAGGTGAGGGTGTTGCAATCACCTTTCCATTGTAAGGTGATTGTGTGGGTCGCAACCCGTCTCTTTTCAACAGGTCACATGACTTGAGCGTACCCATTGCCTATCTCACTTTGCAGTTGAATCCCCTGCAGCAACAATGTCAACACTTGTGGAGAAATGTCTGAATTTGTGCTTCAGACCTGTGGCTGGACTCTGAATGTAAGTAGTTGAGAATTTATGTGTATGTAGAATGCAACAGATTTGACTGCATTCAACTGCAGACTGCATCTTGTGTATGTATATATAAAATTTGGCTTTTTTATTAAAGCAGACAGATATTTCAGGTGTGCCAGCTCTAAATGTGTATGCGCTAAAGGTGCGGCCAGATTACAGTTTTCTCTTTCCAAATGTAATATTTCCTCCAATAAACTGGCACGAAACTCCACTGGGACCTTATGGTTTTAACAGCATTTAATACTTGAAAACAGTGGTGCACCAGCACATACTGCACTCTGTCTACCACTACAGCTAAAACATTTAGTAAATCCAACTTTAACCGGACATACAGTTCAATCAGGAGTAGCAGCACCAGAGTCCAGAAAAAAGAGAAAAAAACCTTTCTTCCATCTCATCTATTTTTAGTTGAGTGTCAAAACACTTATTCCCCCTTTTCCCTCTTTCAAATTAGTGGCCCAAAAAAGTCATCAGTGGAGAACAGTTGAGAGCTGAACAAGGTCTTTTGTAACATTGCTATTGAAGGAGGCTTTGTTTTGGCTTGTTTGTGTTTCTCTGACCAGCAGACAGCCACAGTAATATGAACAGGTCTCTCCGGAGAGCTGCGTCAGGCGGGCAAAGAGGAAGAGGGCAGCCTTTCATTTGGAAAAGGGCTACTCTGCCTCCTCATCACAGGCACGCTCTTAGGTTGTAGCTCAATAAAGCACACCTCACAGGTTACAAAACAAACACTCCATCTGCACACACACACACACACACACACACGCATATATATATATATATAAACCTGCATGTACAGGTCACATGCATGCTTGCACAAAGAAGTGGGCAAAGCAGCACAAACAGGCTCTGCTGCACCAGGGGAAATCATGTGGTGCACAGCCCATATCAGCAGGGTGCCTCTTTACACAGCCATGTAATTAGTTCACAATGTAACTCCTCTGATGTGGACCTCACAAACACACAGCCCAAAGTGAATGACGACAAAACCGAACGCGCAGACATACCACGCAGAAACACAGATTCCGTCGCCAACATATCGAGCCGTTTTCGTGGCGTTTCAAAGGTCAGAGATGCATGATCTGCAAGAATCTCAGCCCCGGGTAGTGAGGGCCATGCATTTATTCAATAAGAACCTGCAATGGTTGCCATTAGAGTGTTACATGAACGCTAGTGTGTTAAAATAAATACAATGATGCAGAGATTGATCTTTTTTTTCTTGCCGACATAATAGCTTGTTATTGACAATTTTCACAGGAGTTGTGATGGAGAGAAAGGGAAAAAGCCACCCCGTTATCACCTGATATTTTCAGGTATTATTTGTCAGCGCTGAAGTTGTTTACCTATTAGAGTGAAAACTATAAGCTTGTCTGACAGATGGAAAGGGGAACAAAAAGGGGAAAAAAAAACAGTGAACAGAGGTGCACAATTACACCGATCCGCCACAACATTCAAACCGCCCGGTGAATATGGTAAAGGTACACCCCGGGCTGCCAAAACAGCTTGGACCTGTCAGCGAATGGACATGGGACCCAGGGGGTTGTCCTGTGGTGTCTGGCGGCAGTGGGATATTGGCACCAGATCCTTTGGGTCCTGTGCAGGTTTGGGCCTTCGCAGATCAGATTCAACCCACAGATGTCTGATCGGGCCGGGATGTGGGGAGCTGGCCTGGAGCCTTTTGCTGTTCTCCTCGAGCCATTACTAAATAGCTTGTGATCTTTGTCTGGGGAAGCGGTGCATATCCAGACCAGGATTCCATCGTCTTCTTTTGTCTTTACGAATGCAGATAAAATAAGATAGTTGATGACTTCAGCAAATACCTTCTCTCCTTTTCTTTTCATACGTGCTCTTTACTTAGCACAGCCAAAGCTTGCCTAGATGTGATTGGTTAATAGATATGCAGAATCTATTTATAGAGATGAGCCGGGGGAGGCCGGTGTCGTTGAAGTCTGCAGAAAACGTTTAGGTCGGTGGTACGTGTCGAAGTAACATCCCCATAATTGCAAAGACCTGAGGTTCACTAGAAGGACCTTCTACTGTAACAAGACAATCAGTGTTTTTCCACCTTTGCTGTAAGTAGTTTTAATGTGTCTGATGTGCGATGATATACGGTTTATGTCCGTGGTTGGCCGGCGTGAGCCGCAGACCCTCCCTCTTCTTTCTCCTTCTCGCCTTTCTTTCTTTGTCTCCCCTTTCCACCTCTTTCTCTGTCTTTGTATCCGTCCTCTCTCTCTTTCTCCCTCACCTCCTATCCAAAGTACAGGATAATGACACAGTTTTCCTGGGCTGCGAGAGCGAGCTGAGAAATGGTAACCATAGCAACAGCTCCTGTCCTGCTCAGCCAGCCCACTGCTGCCTGCGCCTCAGCGCGCAGCATTGTGCTAGCCATGCTAGCGAAATCATTCTGGGTGTTGTTTGTGTGGCGTGTGTGTGTGTTTATGTGTGTGCGTATAGTGGTAGCGGCGGTGGGAGGGGGAATAGGCAGATGTCACTATTTGCCTTCTTCAGTCTCTCATCTCATCAGAGTCAGTGTAGTTTACGGCTCAGTAAATACTGCAGTAATCACATTAATATCTTGTGCACAAGTGCTTTTCGTGCAGCAGTTCAAAGAGCTCACGAAGTAATTAGTGGATCTCTGCAATGACTAATGTTGACTGGGCTGAGAGCATAACAATAAACCTCTCAGTACTTCAGGAAGGGAAGTGTTAAGTGAGGTTGAGGTATAGTCAGAGTTACCGGTCCCTGCCTCCTCTCTGTGCTTGATTTTGGGCTTGTTTAATATCTCCCCATGTCACTGCGAAAAGCCTCCATTGTTTTGACTGTGTGGGTTGTAACTTGCCATTTTAATTAAGTCCCCAACCAGGACCCGCCTGCAATACTATTACTCTGC